CACACACACACACACACACACACACACACACACACACACACACACACACACACACACCAGCACTTTTATTTGCATCACGGCAAGCCTTTATGATTTCAAAAAACTACAGATTTTTTTAATCCCCTTCCTCTGTTAAGTAAAATAACACTTTCTGAATACCATTTTTAAAAAAAGTGAATTTTGTGATATCTTTGCAGCTTTCAATAATAATTTTTCCAGCAAGCATAAGAAACGGGGGGAAAATATGAGCAACTCATAAAAAGAATATAAGAATAARTCAAACACTTCCACATAAAACCACATTTCTATCGGTCCTCTCTTTAATCTCACTGATTCCTGCAGTTTTTGGCTGATTCCACCTTCACATGTTGAGAACACGTAAAAGAAATTATTCAAGCATGACAGCTTATTTTAGACGAACTCGTCAACTTCTCTTATATTCCATTCAGTAACACAAACATTAAAATGTGATGACAGTGATTATGGTTTAAAAGAAGGAAAAGGGGAAATCTCAGCAGTAAACATGATCAGAGGAGACACCTGAACAGTGCAGGATGTGTTTGGACATGTGAGACAGGTGTCTCTCTCTCTGCCTAAATGAAAATCCTAAAAAAATCTTTGAACTTATTCTGACACTTCAGCGTCTCTAACTGTTTTTGAGTCCAGGGAATGAGGTCTTATTGCTCAATCTTGGAAAAACAAAAGTCAGATGATAATCCTTGAATTATAGTGTCAGAATAACATAATAAATGTGTTTTTTATTGCGTGCAATTTATATTTACAAGGTYGCAATAAATGATTTTATTTATTTGTTGCTGTTTATGATGACAATAAATTGTTCTCAACTAAGTTAATGAACTGTAAAAATTATTTTTAAAAGGGCTCACAAAAAATACAATTTATAATCTAATTATTAAAATGAACAGAACAGCTACAGAAAAAGGGAGTTTTAAAAGAAAATGTGATTAATGAAAGAGTGTTTCTGRAGAAATCAGGGAGATATTTGCACTAAAAGCCGAGCTGAACTGGCATCAAAGCGCTTCAGACTAAAACCGTTTTTTCACTGTTTTTTTTTTTTTTCACTTTTTTTTCCTCCTGTCGCTCTTTTGGGGCGAGCTGCAGCCGACAGACACCAACTCCTCCAGAGACACAGCCGAGTGTCCCTGTATAGCTGCAATCAGGACAATGTGCTGAATGGACAGTCTAATTATAAATGTGCCATTTAGACTCGCGTTTGGGCTCCAGAACCGCCTTACCTTATGAGGAAACCTGCAGAACCGTCAGAGAGGAGGAAGGAAAAAAAAAACTTTTTAACTCTTCAGAGAGAGAGAAAAAAAAAGGACAGTTTTCTGGGATGTGGAGTTTACAGGGAGAAAAAAAAGAGGATTCCAGGCTGATTAATTAGCCACAGGTGGGGTAAATAGAGGACAAAACGCACGTGCTCAGGCGATAAATAATAAGTTCATTAAGATTTTTTTACACGGGTTTTAAAGTGTATTTTCTTCTGATTAAAATGATATAAAATAGACTCATGCAGCWGCTTTAAGAGGGCCGGTTTTTGTGCAGGAATTTAGAGAAATGCTTTTTTTTTTATAAAGAACGTTATAAAGAACGCATTCTGTGATCATCCAGGTTTCCTTAAAAAAAACTAAAATAGCATCCCTGATATTTGTAATTAATTTATTTTAATTAAACAAACATGTGTGTTCAAATCCAGAAATGCACATTTTACGCGGCCTGAACATGTTAAAACTTTGTTTTGCATTACATTTATGCTGATTATTAATTTTATTTATTCACGTGTGGTGTAAAAAAAATAAACAAGGTTAAAACTGACATGAGAAGTTGCGGATGCTCGGTCCAGTCCGGAAGCTTTTAGGCATGCATTTGTTTGTTTGAGTTTATTTTCTAACCCACATTTACTCCTGTSATTGTTGGATTTAATTTATGACTGATGCTTTCTTCAGGGGGTCAGTTCCCCTCCGACCCCCTGACAAAGTTTAGGAGATTTCCCAGAAGCTGCGCACCTTAAAGAAACTGAGTTTCTGTCCTGGAATAAAACAAATGACACGGAGAGTTTAGGACAAACAGATTCACGGACTTTGGAGCAAAAAAAAATAAAGGAAGGAAAGAAAAGTGGACTGAGAGCTTCAAATAGACGTGTCCACAGAGCGCGCGGAGACAGGAAACCCACCGGGGCGCGAGCCGCTGTCAGTGAGTGGTACCGCTCTGTGGACAGAAGTGAAACTGCCAACAGCGGCATGAAGTTGGGGGGCTTCATGTAAACACGGGGGCAACTTTTACACCTTGTTATTAGGAAGAAGAAGAAACACTTAATTGCGATAAAAGGGGAGAAGGTTGCGGATGAAAAGCGCTCCGCGAACCGCTCGCGCCGCGAAAACTTCTCTAAAGAGTTAAAAACAAAAGATTATCTCAAACTTTTAAGAGACTTTTTTTTAAAACACTTTTACGTGGTTAAGTTTTCCAAAAGTCGGCTGTTAAGAGAAATTCGCAAGAGAAGCCGAGATGAGCTCTGCGTCTCGCGCGTGTTCGGATTTAGACTGTTTAGGTTAAAAAACCAAACAACGGGTTTGGGGGGAAAGTGTTTAAGTTTTTGACACGCGCTCTCCTCCACACACAAACTTGGTCGTGTCTCGTGTGAGTTGGTCGCGCGGAGAAGTTTGTGAAACTGCGTGTTTTTGAGCGGAGCGCAGGCAGCGCGCGCAGGACGCTTCTCTGACAGCTCGCTCGACTTTCAGGAATCAGCGCTGAAAAAAAAAAGAACCAAAAAGGAAGAAGAAGAAAAAACATCTTAAAACAACGTTTTACCTTGAAGATGGAAGCCGTGGAGAAGAAAGCTGCGCGTCCTTCCTCGTGCGTTAAAAAACACTAAAGACTCGACTTTAAGACTTTACTGTAAAAGAAACAACTAAAATGAAATAAAGACTGAGCTATCTGTTGAGCGAAAACTTGTCTCTGCTCGGCCATACAGGAGCGGGATCCCGTTCACTCACTCTCTCTCTCCCTCTCTGTGAAGTTCAGTTGTCCAAAACTACAAGCACCTTTTGTTGTTCCCGTCTACTATCTGCTCTTTATCTCCCTCCCCTCGCGCGCGCGCYCACACACAGGAGGAGAAGACTCGCGGCCGAGCTGCTGTCAATCTTGGCGATCAATGCGCGCAGCCATGTCGCAAGTATTCAAAGCATTTCCCGTCGTGCTGCATCAGAAAGTGAGTGGCCGGGGCATTGATCTGAGGAAGGCAGAGGGGCAGGACTCTCTCCCCC